ATCCGGACCTGAGACTGGAGCAAGATCAGCCACTCGGAACGGAGGGGAGCAAGACAAACAGTGGGTGTAATGACGCCACGTTAGATTGGCCAAAAGGGTACATCTCTTTTGTAATATAAACATGTTAGAAGTTGTGATAGGATGAGGGCGAGACTAGAAGGTAGGAGATGGATAGTCGGACCAGGACAAGATGAGGAGTGATAGCATAACCGTCTAGACAGAAAGTTGGTCAAGGGATTGACTTCACTTGTCTCTGACGAGTTGTAGCTTGGTTGCCGGGACTGACTCACTGATGATGCTGACTACGATGCCTACGTAACGCCTGGGAATATACCGAATTTACAGCCTAGGAATGAAATTTCCCTGACTTGTAAGACATATGACTCATAACAAGGTATATTCATTTAATTTGCCTTGGCAACACTATTAAGTAACGATGACGGAGTCTTACCACTTCTGTCGCAAAAGAAGACTGACTATGCAATATAGGGAACACCATATTGCTCTTTAAGTATAGGATTATTTGTGTATATGGCTCAAAATCGGCTGCTGCTTGTCTAAATCTGACAGAACTATGAACTCACCTAATTATGCGAGAAAATGGATAACATATTGGCTTTAATTATCATAACATTGTAACGATATAAAATACTATTTCCACTAATTCTCATATTTAGTGACCTTTAGCCATGACTCTGGTTTTACATGTATATATCTAAGTATCTATATACAGATATGTTTTAGGCAAGTAAAGTATAATTGTTGACCAGATGAAAAAAGAATAAAATAAAGAGGATTGTGTCAGAGAGCAAAAGTCTTTACTGCAGGTGCATGAAAGCGCTTTTAGAATGCGTAGGTTGAAAATGTATGTCTATTGATATTGCCTATGCGCAGAAGCGGTACAAAGGGTGTATACTTTAAAGATTATCACGAAGAAACACCGTCAAGCATCAAAGAATCTGTTATAAAAAACAACTTTGATCATCTACTCATCAATGCTGTATTAAAGTAGGTGAGGGGAAGTGTGGATATAATTCTTATTATAAGTCTTTGAGATTGACTTTTGTTGACACAAAAGTCATAGCTTATTTGTTCTGCTTAGCGATGGACTTTGAAAAGCAAACATTAGATTTTGGAGGAGACCAGGGCTTCAATGAATTAGATGCTGGCTAGTGCATTTCTGCTTGTCAGAGATACGCAGAATATTATAGTTTTGTTCGTTTATTATGTTGAACAAAGGTGAGATTAAATAAAGAAAACAATGTCGAATAAATTTGGATGCTTCGTAAGTTAGTCACAGAATTATCAGGAATAGGTTTAGCTTTAAATTAATTTACTAATCGTTACTTTATTACGTTTACACTTAAAATAACTTTTGGAGTCTTTTTATTATTTTTATCCTTTTATGCCTTACTATGCCTCTAGAAATAATTTTTAAGTAGTGGTAAGTTTCAAATTTCATCTAAAATATTTACATTTTTTATTCTTGCCTTAGAGTAATGGGAGGCAAAGCGCGGAAAAAGTAATTTATTATTTAATCTACCAAAACTATTTGAGAAGACTTATTTATTCTTGTTAAGTGAATAAATTCAAATGATTTCTATACACTCCTGCGTGCGAGTACCTCCAGATGCAGCCTCATTTCTTTATTTATAGTCCTTCCAATGAGAAAAGTAACAAGAGTGTTCCCAGTCTAGACTTGTTAGAGAATAAAAAACTTCTTTTTACAAGTACTCAAGTTCTTAATATTTTATTTCATCGACGAATTGATCTCCCCTCTTTGCTATAAAAATGTAGACCATTTTCAAAAAAGACCTTAATTCCCAGAGAAGGGCGAATTTTTAAATTTTACCGCTAGAATAATAGTAAACTAAACTGTATAATAACGCAGTGTTATATACATGGTAAAAATATTAGGTAAGTAATGATAAGAACAGTACCGGAAAAATAATCCAAAAATTGTGATTATATCGCCAAGATAGGCTGCTCTCTCACATTCTTTAATACCTTATTAGTCTACACGGTATGATAGAATTAATTAGTTAAGTAAGATGATACGCTTCATAAAAAGACATTTTGATGCTTATAAAAATTACTAAACAAATATTTCAAAAGTAAGAAGGCAAAGTAGACTATTCATATTACTGAGATTTTGAGGCTATCACCAGAAATTAAATAAAAACTGTATTTACTCTAGTTCTCATAAAATAATGAAAATTAGCTAGTCAAATTCTTTTACAATTAGATAAATAAGCCTCACGGATATAAGTAGGTAGGCATTAACCAGGTTGGAGTACAGTTTTTGCCTCGTCTGGGCCTCATCAAACGCTTGGGCGGAAGCAAACCTGGATGGTGCGGGGCATAATTCCGATATATTAACACTTTGCCACACTTCCAAGAGTGCTCATTGTGCCAAAGACTGAATTTAATTTCATGCTAAGATGAAGTATCACATTTTTAATAGCGGGATCGTCGATTTAAATATGAAATCGTGGAACAACTATTTAATCAATGTAGATCAAATTTATTTATATTATATGTATTTCGAGACCACCAGTATAGACTAGCTAAGAAGTGTATTTATCCCAGATCGCATAAAAGTATGAAAATGTGATAATTTAATTTTTCATCAACAACATAAGTAAGCCACTTAATTTTCCATAACTGTATCCATCAACGAATTTCTTCATCCACTCAGGACTGCAGTTTAAACCTTTACTGGGTCTTATCAGCACCCCCAGCAGGAGCTGAATCAGGTCAGTTCAGTGTGCAAATTAGACAAGTTACCATCACGTCACACTGCCACGATTGACTTTGAGTTACAGGGCAGGTGTGAATTCCGAGGCAATCCAGAACTTTTAAACATCACATTTATAATGTCGTTATCAATGCGTAAGACGCTTATTTTATTGTTACTTATATTCACGTTAAGAAAGTTTTGAGATTATCATTAGATCTTGAATAATAGATGTCTTCCTCTCGGGTTCTATAAGGTGATAAAGGAGTAATAGTTGGTTCTTCATTACAAAATATTATCTAGGATGAATTCAGTTTATATTTAGTTAATGTGTTTCATAAGTCAACCTTCATAGTCCTTTTACCTATGATTAAACGTTGAATAAATTCTACTGAACTTCTGGTGTACTTGGGGTGATAGCCACAGTTAATTTACGAAAATGACTCACATAAGGCTGGCTTAATTAAAAGTATTTTGGCGGTTTTCCAGCTTAACTTTGCTAAGCTTAATCCTGTTATATTGTATACAACGTCAGAGTGGTAGAGTATTTTCAATAAAGGATGGTTTGACCACGTTTTTGCAAATTGTGGAGTTTCTCTGGTTCTGCATCCTCTGCCAAAGTTGTAATGATTTCCAGCATTGGATAGATGATTTGGTAAATTACCAGACGTGTCGTTGGCATAGTTAAACCCTATCAAAGTACATTCCGCAAGGTCTTCCTGTCTCCCCGACTAAGTTGCGAAAACGAGATAAAATCAACTCTATACAGCTAAAGAAGACTGCGACCAAACAAAAGGCCACACCATCTTGGTCTTTATGTCTAATTTTCATATCAATTTAACATCAAACCTAAGCAATAGGGCCATGAGGACGAGAGTGAGTGTCTGAGAATCGTAATTAAGTTTGAATTTATAACTTTCACTTGATTAAAATATGTCCGACATAGGACAAGAAAAGACTCAGGACGCAGTAATCTGTTTTTTATGGAGGTATAAAAATAATTATCACAAAAAACTTTATTCATCTGGCCTATGAAAATAGCAAAAATTCACTTTGAACCCCATAATATGTATTTTGATAAATGTTTCATATCGTCTGAGGTGCAAAGCCACGAGGATTAATTGCTAGTTAAGGTGACCTTTTATGCTGAAATCATTATAATTTTGATTAAAATCATAAACTTTGTCGTATAATGTTCAGCTCATGCTAGAAAAAGCTTTCCTTTTCATTAAAACTCGTGATTCATCTGAGCTCTGATAATTTTTAAATTGTAAACTACTGCTTAAGTATGAGTCCTGCCAGAACCTAGGCAAGATTCTCGGTAGAATTTAATGCCTACGGAAGCAATGCTATACCTTCATATTTCCGTATCGTCATGAGGCAGGGATTAACTTCAAAGTAAGAATGAATTAATTTTAAATGCAAGGCGTATAAGTTGTCGGTAGCTTAGCCATATTATTTTTCGAAGCAGCAAGTGCCAAACTCAAAAGCTCAAAAATATGTCGGGACGCAGAATAATTCAGCTAAAAACAGTGAGAATTTGTACATTGATCTTAAATTAAATTAACTTTATTTGTATGAATCTTTTAAAAAAAGCCTCATAGAAACAGATAAAATTATATAACAATGTCTAAAATGAGTAAAACCACATTAAAAACGCTAACGAGATAAAATAAATCGTTTTATCGAAAGTGTTTGTACAGTCAGAATAAAACAAGTCAATTCATGACTAAGTTAAAAATTGGTTGACAATTTGTTGACTACGACCTCATCGAGAAATGCTTTAATTTAAGGTTCAACTAGATGCAGAAAGATAATAAATTTAAATAGAAATTATGTACTTTAAATGAGTTTTTATTAGAAAGTTCAGGGCAGGATAGTGTGCCTCTAAGACTCCAATGAAAAAACGCTCGAAAAACCTGTGAAGTTATAGATTCTATAGAAATTCGCATTAGGAGATTTTAACAACCACCTCTTGTTTAGAATTATGTTAGATAAAAAAAGATGAACCCATAATGAAGGCAGTATTAGCTAAATTCATTGTAACTTATTATCAACACCCAAATATAACATAAATGTACATTTATGATTCTTCGTTTCAGGTTTGTATGCAACATACAGCTCCCTTCATAAAAGTATTACGAGATTTTCAAGCTAAAATGGTCAGATCCTCTGAGCTCTCTGATCTATTTCTTCTTAATATCACCTGTTTCTCTCACGTCCATTCTGCAACCTGGTCACTCCCTCGAACCTCTGCCTTGACCTACCGCGTCACTTTTACTTCGTGCTCTTGAGAAGAATCACTTTCTGTTTCTTTTATTGCTAAAACTCGGCTGCTGGATTGACTGCTTCTTTCTTCGAAGGTGTCTTTTATTGCCAAGTCAATATTGTCGTCACCACGTTGCCACTCCTTCGTCACATCATCGACGATCAAATCTGGCTCCTGTTCAACAGGTTGGGAAGTAGGAACTATATTTTTAGGGCTAGGCTGCGAACGTCGCGAGCAGGAGAGCAGTCGAGAGTAAAAGATAAGAACTCGACGCTTGAATAGAAATTGAGTGAGGAAGACTACCACCGCCTTTTAGGCAACAGCAAAAAAAGGTGGGTGAAAAGAGTAAATGAAAGAAACACATGTTGGCTGAGCTAATGATGATGATGATGAGGACAAGGAACGTATGTATAAGAAAAATCCGAATGTTTATTTGACTGGGTTATCTACAAAGTCTTCTGATTGCAAACTGAGACGAATCTGCCAAAATTTCTCCTGGAAACCACGCCAAAAGCTCCTTTAATCCCTAATTTAACAATATTACCAGTTAATAGTTTTAACTTTAAATCATCCAGAGTATTAAATGGCTGATTAAGAGTTTGCCTATAGACTAGCCAGTCATCTATGTTAAAATCTAATGATATTTATATGAAATTTAAAGAAACACTTCAGTTAATTATTTTTGTCTGCCGAAATAGTCAACTAAAGTTAGATTAGCCTTTACTCTGAATTAAGTTCTTCAATAACTCAGAAAGCAAAGCACTCCTATCCACTTGTCTCACTATTGTAAGTATAGCTAGAAGAGTAAGATGTACTGAAGGCTTTAGTAAGTATAGTAATCTGTTTAGTCTTGTAGATTTTTTCCAGAATTTTTTTTTCAGAAAACAATGAAATTGATGATAAATTGAAGACTTGCATATATTTCTTAACAGGGCTACTGCGCCATTGTAGTAGATACGGCTTGACTTTGAGATCAAGTGTGCAAATTAAGAGAATGCGAGAAAAAATTCCATATTTATGTAACCATTATAAATTTAATTCAAAGGATCAATATTCTAAAAATCACAAAGGGGTTCACACAGCTGAGCATTGGAATCTATTTATTAAGACACGAAAGTTTATAAAATGATTCGTTGTTGCGTAAATGATATAGTTTAATTATAGTTTTTCCAGTTCTCGATATAGAAAGAAGGTTACTAGGTGATTAAGTATGTTACTAGGTATACCAACAAATCATACAAGATGATTTATTATTTGCACAGGAAGCTATGTTCTCTTGAATAGAAAGCTGAGCAATCGGCGTCCGTAGCATTAAAAAAATCATAAATATTTGTTACCGCAATTATATTCAATTTATCTCATATTCACTTTTCTTCTTAGCTAGTAGCTTGATATATACATCCTATAGGCTTTATTAATCCAACGGTGGACCCGAAGTCAAGTGACTTTACAGGGAATTGAATGAGAATATGAATATATTTATTGTTACCAAGTGGATTAATTATTAGTAATTATAATACATTTAAAGGTTTTTTTGGTGCATTTCTTAGTCAAATAAATAAATACATATTATATATATCCTTGTTCTTAAAAATAAGTAAGAATAAGAATAGTATTCCTAATTATATAACGTTATTGAAATTCGGCAATTAGGGCCACTGAGCGAAGGGAATTGTAAACTTCGAATTACAGTAATTTATTACTTCAAATTTTCCTGAGGAAAATTAATCTGAACATTTACATGTTCTACAAAACTGAGTTTCTAAGGTGCCATCTCATTTTACCATGAAATTCTCAATGAAGCTATAACAGATCTTTGATCTCAACTGATCGAACAAGAGATTATTTACAGCCAACAATGCCCAATATACATTAATATATTGTATGAAATGTTATGTCTCAATTGAAAGGCTTCCCAGTAATATTATCTAGTTTTATAGAAAATATCAATTTTTCTAGTTCTGTCAAAATGTGAGGCTCGAGAAGTCCTTCTATATTAACTTCAGGTGTGCCAACTGACCAACCAACTATATGGCAAAATAGTAACGGACTGCTGCTAATCTTTCGTACAAATAGAAATACTTGGATACATTTTAGCGGCAAAGTTAAATTTTCTTTAGATTACAGTGTAAGTGATTCACATAGTAAGTTTCAGAACAAAAAGCTCATCAGGGTGGCTAGACTTGATCAAAACTTAAAAAAGTTCATACAATTGTTTTCGTCTTCCGTCTAGATAATTTTAAAATCATAATTTTTGCTTTACTTTATCCTTTATGCCTAACGTAAGAGTCCACAAAATTATCAGTTCGCTTAAGAAAGGAACTGGTGTTTCGAACTATCTGTCGACTCGAATAAGTTGTATTTCTAGAAAAGCGGCTCCATTTTTTTTCACACAATATTTATCAAAATTGGTTCGTAATTGCCTTTTTCCAATTGAAGCAATCTCACCTCGCTTTGCTCCATCCATTTAAACAGTGAAAAACTGTATTCAGATTTTCCCTGTTTATTGGTTAATCCTAGATCGGTTATGGCGCCTGTAGATTCACTGCTCTGGCTCCTTATAGCACGGAATATGCCCATTTGTATCAGTAGGAGAATAGAGAGCCACTCGTCCCAAAAGCGATATGGTCGAGCCATAATAGGGTACATTATGAAGAGCATAAATAGGGAGATAAAGCTGATTATGAGGCAAGGAAAACGGATCTGGACTTCGTAAACATCCATGGGCAAACAGCTATACAATTGAAAGAAATGTAGATGAGTGTAAAATTAGGGGTAGAAGCAAAGAGAATCACAAGTAAAAGATACGATTATGAGCATTTATAAATTTGAGGATAAAGGGCACTGTTTTGGAAGATTGCCTTCTTCCTGAAATGTTCATGCCACTAAATTATGTAGTAAAAATGAGGTCATTTTTCCAAACTCCATCTTTGAAGTTATCTAATTTCACTCTGGTACTCAGCACTATTCATTTATTTAACATTCCCACATATAACAGAGAAAATCGAGGAGATATGACAAAAGTAAGCCATTCATTTATTGTTTGTTGGCAAATAAATTAATATGATACTTGTATTCTTGATAAATTTGAGAATATTAAAAGGTCCAACCAGCAAGAGGGAACAAAGCTAAAGTAAAAATGTATACTTAATTTTTAATATTTGCTTAAGAGGCATTGATATCTTGACTTCTTGATTGAAACTTCTAAAATAAAAGCCTGTTGAGCTATAAAGTATTTTAGTTAATTGTTTTGACGCAACTATATGTTGGGACCTACAGCAAATTTTTCAGTAAGGAAGACATTTGAAACTTTGGTTTGTAGGAAGGGAAAAAGAAATATACCTATTTATTAAGTATAGGTCTTGAAACAAGTCTTTTAGACTGGCCTGTACTTTTTAAGACGCCGAAATCAGATGCAATGGCTATAGCTTATAGGTTAATTAGAAGTATATAGCCCCCTATTAATTGTCTGCTTTAGTCCTTCATAATGTCTTAATCGATAAAAAGAATTTAGATCTGCGTTTAAGAGATGATTGTTAATATTATTATTTTTGCCGTTACTTAATTTACTAATCAATTTAAATAAAAGTTTTAACCTTTAAAAAAACTTTCCGATAATGGAATTCTCATAAAGTGCATTACGCCACAAGAGCACTAATATGTATCTTTTTCGCACATTTCCATATATGATTTCAAAGAAAGAGCTTTAATTACCTGAAAATTTGCTTATTATTAATGACTATATTGCCATTTACCATATATATTCACAGAATTCCTTTTTGCCTAAACCAACCCCTTTTTTATATAACTCCTACTTAACTTTGTGAGAAGAAATCTTCATCTCTCTAATATATATACGCTTATACATTGACATTGACGTAAATGGAAAGATTTATAATGCTATAAAAAATGGGTAAACATTAAACAAATATTCTCTATTAATTCTATTCAATATGCTCTTCTGACACTTTATGAGAAAATAGGCTTTCATTTTAATTCAGGGTTATCAAAATAAAATTTGAATTTATTTGTCATCAAAGATTATTATCAAATAAGTCGTAAGGGATTATGAAAACCATTTTTAATAGCCATTCCAATTATATTTGCCCAAATTATGTTTAATCAAAGGGTAGTAGAACGGTAACATTACATAGGTTTAAGGAAAAAATAGTGAAATTTATTTTATAAAAAAAATCAACTCAAGTTAATGCTCAAACTTACTTTACATTATAATAAATTGCGGCCTGAGTGAAATGAAATGTGAGCGTCAAAGTGATGTACGTAACTGAAAAGGGTAAAATAATCAGGCGAAAAATGAAACTAAAAATAATAA